AGCACATCATGAGCGGGACTCTTACTTTGGCAGCGTGGACTCGATGAAGTGCTTCTGCAGGAGCTTGTGGAGCATCTCAAACTGAGCAAAGCTCTTCTGAACGACGAGGAATCCGTCCTCAATGGTCACCTTCAGCTCGTACGTCTGACTCGAACACAACGGACATTATGTGTGGGGAAAAAAGGATTTAATAGTACAAATGTAGGCCAAATATACTTGGATGTTTCTGTATAGTTATCAGTATAAGCCAAGAGTGCTTAAGTATAAACAAACGTCTTTTTATCGAGCATCTCCACATCTTCACGTTGCTCAGGTTTTTGTGAAGGAAACTCACCACATCTTTGCCGTTCACTGTATATTTCTGGATCACGGCCTCCTGAATGTTGGTGTTGGAGGAGATCTGGCTCTTAGCCGGCGCTTCTGAACGTTTGACGGAGGAAAACTGCACCATATTGTGGATGAGGAAGTTTAATTTGACTGGGAAGCTCTCCATGCTCTCTTTAATTTTTCTGAAACAGGAAACACACGAGTAGATCCTTTGTAAACACTCATCAAATACGAGAAGCCATGTTTTATTTATTCAGTTGTCATCAACGGTCTTATTGCAAAGGGCATTGCTCGTTTGCACGGGAAGATGCTGCTGTGTGAGAAGAGAACATGAGCCGTTGATGATTACAGATGCATATCATTATCAAACTATTTTGAAATGCATTTCCCAAGAGGACTGATCAGACAGACACGAATAAACAACATACTCAAAAATGAGACACACAGACTATATATATATATAACGCAACAGATTAACCATTTGTTGGTCACATGACTGATCAACAGTGATGTGTTTACTTGGTAAAATATGAAGTGGCTTCCAGCTCCGAGTCATGAGGCCTCAGTTTGTTGTGAACATATTGTAGGTCCCGGACGTCCTTCAGCTCAGGCATACCGGCCGCCAGCATCTACAATCAGACGTGTGCATGGATACAGAAACACATGAGAGGGAGCGGATGTCAGCTAAACAAAGTGAGCAGACGGAGCTTTCCGCCTCACCAGCTGCAGCAAACCGAGCACCAGAGCAGAGCATCTGCGCAGACTGTTGTACGCGTCACAGCTCAGCTCAACGAAGCGGTGGAAGCGCTGTGGATTCTCGCCGCCGCCCGTGATGAAGCGCTGCATCTCCGGCGTGAAGATGAAGGGCGTCCGGTCCCTGTGCGTTCACAAAGTGGACGTCTACTTTAGAAGGGGTTCTTTTTCATTATGCAAAGTGACAAGAAAACAAATCACTTGCCTCTTGATGCTACCGAACTTCTGCGCATTGCCCATGATCTTCCCGAAATCGATGTGGAACATGTGGCCGCTGTGTTTGATCATGATGTTGTCGTTGTGACGGTCGCAGATGCCCAGAACGAATGTGGCGACACACCAGCCGGCGCAGGAGTGAAGGAAGTTCATTACAGCCTGAAGGTCAGACGAGAGACAAACACACCTCACACCGGCGCTGTGGCCAAGAGCAGACATCAGTGAAGAAGAAATATACTGTGTGTGTGTGTGTGAGTGACTGTGTGTGAGTGTGTGCGTGACTGTGTGTTTGTGTGAGTGTGTGTGTGTGTGTGTGCGAGTGCGTGTGTGTGTGAGTGTGTGTGTGTGACTGTGTGTGTGTGAGTGAGC